AGACCCTGTACTGAATACATTAAAAAATAAAAAAAATAAAAAAAATATATATATATATACATACACACACATACAGAGATGAATATACACACTAGTTTATAACTCATGACAGCAATTACTGTTAGAAAAGGCTGATTTATGCTATATGAAATTCAATCAAGAAAACATCTTCATCAAAACATACTTTCTTTTCCTCCATAAGCTAACAAATTATATTGATTTCATTAATATTAACAAGGAAAACATCAATTCTCCTACTTAACATTAATATCGTGCCTGGCTCAAAACTAGTTAATTATTGAGATGCCAAAGTTTTAAGAATACAGGATTAAAATGACAAGTACTTTCCACTATAAGTTTATATTCTAATAAATAATTAAAACAAAAACAAATCAATTAACATAACATGAAATAAAGGATATAAGATCTTTTATATTATTAAAAGAGGCCTGACCACCATCACAGAAATGAGGAAAAAAATGACTTACGATTGCATCGTTTTTGTACAAATCGTAATTTGCAAGCTGTTCTGTAAGTTGATAGCCGTATGACGTCAAAATTCTGAGCACCTGAAAAGGGCAAATAAAAATCTTCAACTAGATTTGCTATTTCTAGATGCTAGTAAGTGTAGTTCCCTACTCAATAGTTAGCCTTCTGATGAAAACTAGAGGAAGGAAGGGTTAGGAAACATCTTTGGCAGTACCACTTCTAAAGTCCTAAGACTTTACTAAAGGCTTTGTCTATTATCATCAATTCTGCTAGGCTAAGAAAACTCCAAAGGAAGAACACTCATGCCCCAAGTCACTTGTTTATAATACATGGCAAATGAATGTGACTGAGTGAATGACCAAGTGATCAGGAAATGGGAGCAGAAGACTGATATATCCTGCAAAACTCTCTTTCAAGTATAAGGGAGAAATGAAATACTTCCATGACCAAGAACAACTAAAGAATTCATGATGACAAAGCCAAGCCTACACAGACTACTAAATGACGTTCTAGAGGGAGCAAATTGATCATATCTCCATGAATGAGAATGGAAAGAACCCACCAAATAGAGCAAACAATTAAACACAGGAGAATAAGAGGTATACAATAGTAGTCTTTCAGTTATTCTTTTGTATTCAGCCACAAAATATTTCCATCAGCATGCTCTAC